AATAAAAAAAAACAATTCTATGTTAATTATAAAAAAAAATCCTACACGAGTAATAACGTGAGCTTGCCATTAATACGGCAACGGTACACCCATAGCGATACCAAAATGGCGTCGATTCACCACGACGAATATTAAACGACGAACAGTTAATGGCCTTTTACCAGGACTCGTTCGAGCAACCGTAGGTCAGGCTGGAGCAACGTACTCTCTCTTCCGCTGGCTTATACACATAATAAAAATAGATACGAGGTAACATTTTTTTATTATGGAACAGGCCGCGTACAGCTCGAGGGGAGCGAGAGAGAAGACTTCTGTATCATTCTCAGGCATTCCGCCGGCCGTTTATTTTGGCACGAACACGACATAGGAATTTCAGGAAATTATTTATTGGCTCGCGTTGCGAAGATCCGCCTCGTTAATATTCCAGCACCCATCGCTCGTTTTATACGTGTTTTCGTGCGCATCGACAAATTATTCGAACCATTGATTAATTATAACGATACCCTATTACACACATCCAACATATGTATTTCGTTTTCTGACTGTTTGTTTGCACCATTGCTCATTAATTCTTCTGATATTTTTACATAACCACGAACCTGGACATAACTAAATGGGTGGCTTTTGATTGGATCTTTTCACAAGATTCTATGATATTATTTACACGCGTGTCGTACTTCCGGTCGGAAATTTTGATTGGATTAACATTTCACTGGCTCGTTGCGTTAACAATAGTGCGTGAATGAGGACGGCTGGTGGTCAAAAAGAAAGGGAAATAATTTAATTCGGGGCAATCGGTGCCCACCACGCGCGCTTGAATTCTCGGAAAAGTTCAAGCATTAAGACTGCCCCCGGTTAGAATTAATTACGGAAGCGCAAATAATTAACGAAACGAGCACCGGCAGTTTAATGGTCGGAGTCAGTTATTATTCGCCGCGGGGGGCATTAATCCTAAGGTTCTTCGGGCTTGACCAGCTCCGAGCTGCAGGAATATTAATTTATGCAATTTATTCAATGTGAACGCAATAAACCCAGGCAATAAATATCGATAAACATTGTTGAGAAAAGTTCAAGAGAATTCCTTTCACTGTTATTGCGTTCGAATCAACAGTTTCCCATATGATTTAACATAATTATTTATACCTTCATCCTTCGAGATGTTCCATAACAAATCGTTCTGTTACACATTTCCAAAGTCAGATGAAGAGATGGATGTCAGAAGATCGCCTGAAATTCAACCTGGATCGAGTCCGTGGAGATACAGAATGAAATGCGTGGTTGCGCAAACAGCAATGTTGCGATTTTTTATTACGGGTTACGTAAGGAACCCACGGCGATACGATACGAATATTTATAAGTCCCCTCCTACCTCACGGGTTCTCGAGCCTGGAATGCATTTCCCGCTCGAAGACAGCGAGATTATTACACCTTGGATATTTCATCTAAAGCCCCGAAGCTTTGCCCTCGTCCTCTCCCCCTTCGGTTAAATTAAACATCCACGGCAATTGGAAAATGCGACTCGATATAAACGCGCCCTTAAACGATTTACGAGGACCCGTCGGAGCCTCGTTTCTCACGGTTTCCACTTTCCTTCCCGCCCAGGCCCTCTCTTTCGGATCGGTGCTCGTGGATTCTAGTATCGTATTTAACGGGAAAATTACATCGGGCGAACTTTTCGACAAATTATCAAATCGGAATAAAAGTGTAGTGTAGAAGAACAAGGGATGGTTCGACTCCGATTCCTCTCCTTTCAATAATATTTTCGGGACACAGACTCCTCTCGATTATCCTCCGGCTTGTCCTACACGATTATTGTCCAGGCGTTATCCCCATTCAAGCCAGTCAAGCTTTCATGTTGTTCAGCTTTTCTTTACGAATATACTAGGGTCTCAAGCATTTCTCCCTATAAAATTATTGTCCCGAGTTCGGGACAATAATCAAGAGGAGTCTGTAGAACGGAAATAACGCAAAAAAAAAATAATATTATAACAGCAACTCCTGATGTTAGATCGTTAAAACATCGTAGTCCCTCTCGAAAACGTAATACCTTACGCAAAATATTCACGAAATATCTAAAAGCCCAGCAGGTTGGGAATCATCATCCGAGAGCGTTTAAACGACCGCGTAAGGGTGCGTTTTCAGGGCAGAAGCGAGGGATGACTCGTTGTTGCAGGGGCCGAGGGGTGGGGTGCCGCTGTAGAAACGCTACCATGTGGCTTTCAGAGGTCTTAACGAGATACAGTTATGCCTGCTGCGCCCCCCGACAACCCCTGCAGGGCACGGCCATGACGCAGGGCTGTTTTCCGTGCAACAAAACGTGAGTCATGCGGCGAATTTCGCAGATCGTGGCCACGCTGGAAAGGAACGAGGTCATTGTGTCCTCGACGCTGAACGAATTCTTAGGGATCCCGTCAGACCCACCCCCCGACCCTCCCCCACTTGGTCGAACCCACCACCCTCTTTTGGCACGGCGACCGATTTCTGCGTATACCTTCGTGGAATACCGACACGACAGGACAATACGAGCAAGGACAATGGGTCCGAGGAAACAACGGCTTTTAGGGCTTCTTGTCGTCATGCTCGCTTCGACGGAATCCCACAATACTCTAATTACAGACGATCATCGATCAACCATTCCACCCCCACATCAGTATGGGCCGCGAGATTCTCGGTTCGGTCGTTGTTTAATAATACACGGCCCACTCCAAGCTTATAGGCAATCCAGGAATGACTCATTAAGCGCTCGGTGAATTGGGTGAAATTAGCTGGTGGAAAATTCTAGGGAGAATTTCGAGGGCAAGGTTTTGGGAGAGTTAACGAATTCTGAATTTGTGCTGGGAATCTAGCAGGTTTAAGAACGATTGCAAGATTAATATAATGAAGTACAAATATGAGAGTCCTCTGCGGTTAATAGATCGATGTAAAGAGTATAGACTTTACTGAGAATCCTTCCGGAGAAGATTCGTGAATAACAACAAATTCAAGCCATTGTTGGCAGACCATTCAATGCCCTATTAAGTGTCAATACGCTCAAGTTCACAGAAACAGAGATTGTTATTAATTCCAACGAATTGCGCCCGATGAACGCACAAAAGGGAGGGATTGAAAAGATTCGATGGACGGTCGTTCACTGTACGCGAGCAATAATTAACTGAATTCAATTAATCCCCGCGACGGGGTTTTCCACGGCCAGTGGAATCGGCCGGCGGCGTTTCGATATCAATTTTTTCCCATTCGTGTCCTGTTTATCGCTTTCCTCCGTGGACGTTGTGCCGCCATGAAAAAAGAAAAAGTCTTCGGTTCGATCGATAAATTTCGCTGAAAGTGCCCCCGCCGTGAATTTACTACCCAGGATACTTGTCCCCTTTCGACGACTTCGAGCATCGATAAATACCCCATCGAAGAGTATTTTATGTTTTCTTATTCGTGCAATCTCACGGACCAATTGATCGAGAATGTTTAATATATTTTTATGGAATTATACTCATTGCTAATCAATGCATATATAGTTAGGCGTATTAAGTTATCGTGGTGCTTTCTTTAACCAAACGTAATACAAACTCCAGCTGCATTTGCGAATCTGACAAATCTGAAACCTGAGTTCGAACGAATTTAACGTTCGACTTTGTATACTCGTGAACACCGTCATTATTTCACGATTTACCTCAATTACTTCCGCTCTCATGTCCCCGGTTCGCGCTTTGTTTCTCTCACCGTGCATAAACAACGGTCCGAGCCGCCGTATAATATACAAAGCCAAGGAAAAAAAAACAAAAAAATTCAATGGCGTCCTGCCAGTATACGTTTAAGTGCATTCACGTTAAGAATTTTGACCTTGTTATTTACGACGGGGGTCGGGAGATATTCACAGGCCGTTTCTGAATGGAACTGGTCTCGAAACGTAGGGGACGATGAATATAAACAAATCCTCGGGCGTGAGTCACTAATCCCAGATATCCCTGCAGGATATTATTCCCAATGTACTTTTGTGTAACCGCGGGTCATGGACTTTCCGGAGTAATATTTGTTATGTTTCTACTTAAGATAATAACAACATCCTGCAGTACTTCGTATTTTACATAAATTTGATACCATATACTCTATTATGCAATAAAGACGTTATTATTATGCATCAATATCCAGGATATAAGCGACCTCAGTGATGCATTCAGAATGAAAACGAGCCGAGCAAGTCGAGACAGTCGCAAGTCGTGACATTGTGCATCACAAAGGCACGTAAATCCCAATGATTTAACTTATCGTGCAATCGCGTCACATAAGAATGCTTTCGGCCCTACAAAAAAACAGCATCGCAACCTATAGTTAACACATTGACTGTCATGGTGGTCGCCGATGACCGACGCCATTAAACATGTCAAAAAAAAACATTCAATTTCAAACGTTCGAAAAAACATTCCAAAGCAACAACATTTACAATTTCACAAATACAACTAGAAATATTGTAATGGTCCAGTAAGCGTACAAGCCAATACGTGCTTATTATTCGCGTTCTGAATATCAAAAACTAAAACAGATTGTATTTTACTCCGATATCGTTTCACGACTAAAAATTCCAGCACTGAACGTGCCAAAGGGTTAGCGTCGGGTCCGCAGTCCGGTTTGGAGTAAACAAATTCTCGCAAATCGCGACTACGCGTAAACAATCATAAGGAATCGCGTTTCGCGGACTGTTTAGAGATTCAATGGTGTTCAGGGCAAATATACGTGTCGGAATGCTTGTGCAAATTCACGGTGGTGGTGGTGAGCACGCGAAAAAATCTCGGTGGAATCGAACGTTCCGAAAAACTACTGTGTCGGGAACAAGTGACGATCGGAGCCGTTCGAATCTGAACGCGCGTTCGACGACTCCGTGGAAATGAGATCCCGTTTTCACGAGAATGAACAGAGGACAAGGAGAATGTGATCGAACGATCGGTTGAACGCGCGGTGACAGAACCGAGAAAGAAGACACGGCTGGTAGAAAAGCAATAAGCACTCACCTCGGTAGCGGCGTTGCATCCCGCGAGAATGACGGCCGTCCCGATCAGAATCCAGTATATCCTCGGTTGCATTTTTCCTCTGATTTTCAGCTGGGCCCGTCCACGAGCCCCCTGTCTCGATCACCGCGTCGGCTCAAGAGACCCAAACGAAAAACTACGCGTACGTCCCAGCCAGGAAGAAAGCACCAAAAAAATCCACCGGAGCAACAACGCGACACACACCACACTGATCGATGAACCGCGAGACACTGAGGGCGCAACGATCGGTCGCTTTCGTCGCTCCGCCGCCACCATATTGGGACGGATGCGCGCGCCGCTCGGCGACGAACCCGCGCACTATCGCCGACCGATAATGATACGGCGCGAGACATTTGAATGTGGTTAATTGATCACTCGAGATTTTTGAATTTATTAGTTTGTGCGGGTTACACGGTCAGTTTTATGGGAGGAAATAAATGTTTCCAGTCTTTCATTTGGCCGTATAGCAACTTTAACGATTGTTCGAAGTACACTTTACAATATTAATAAGTATTGTACATTGTTGAAGACAGACATGTATCGAATGAAGATTCAATGGACAAATTGCAGAATGATAGATATTATTTTTTATCGCTCGCTGATAAATCCTTTTCGAGACCTTTCAGAAATCGAACATTTTCGTTAATGTTGCGATTATATTCCTCGATTTTGTTCCGCATTGCTCTCACTTCGTCCTGCATGTATTTCACCTCGTCTTGCATTTTTTGCTTGAGTATTTCGAGTAATTCTTTATCCTAGGAATTGCAATCAATAAATTGATGTCTTCTATAATGTAGTAAATTGCATTGTTTATTAGAAATATTACCTGCTTATAGTAATACTCAGCTTCAAATGCAATATTACCGTTGGTTGTTTTGTTGCTACTTGAATCACTGAATTTTTGGTTTAAGTACCTACAACTATTTTAAAAAGCAACGTTTCTCTAGTAATTGTACGCCTCCATAAAGTTAGTTTTGTATTAGTATAACCATAAACTCAAATACACATAACCATTACACTGAATTTTCAAATGCGCTCACCTGTTAGCTTCGCATGTTAATGTTCGTAAGACGTATCGAAACATTATTTTTAATTGAAAGAAAAATCATAAATTTTTTAGCGAAAGTTGCTCGGAAAGTTAAATTTGATAGAAATTTTGTTACTTTCTGTCAGTAAAAGAGAAACAGCTGAATATAAATACCATCGAAAAATAATCGCAATAATCGATGTTTACTGTATTATTTCGCGTATGATATACATGTATATAAGTCGGCTTCGGTATAGCAAATACACTAAAATAAATAGCTCCTCATTTTTATTTAATAAGTATTAAAATCAATGTATTTTATTTCATTATGTAACACTGTAATTAAAAAAAAGGTACAGACATGATGACTACCATCGTTACTATCTGCAAAGTATAACTGTTATATCATTATGAGGGACATAATCACACTCATTGGATATCAGGAATATTAAATCAATAAGATTAATTTATTTTTCATTCATATCTGTTATTCTCTGTTTGTGGCGGTTTATAGCTTCTTGATGGCGTTTGATTTGTTCTTCGTGGAAGGAGATCTCATCGTGGAGATCCTCCTTCAGTTTCTGGAACTGTTCTTTTTGCTACAACGAAATACATTTCACATAAATCTTTGCAAAAAACGGACTTGTATATTCATATTACAAACAATAAAGTTCAAAGTATATTTGTTGCATCAAATTATTATCACTAACCAAATTATAGAAATACTGATCCTCATGTGCTGCTTCCATTTTACCAAATGATCCACCGGCGTCACGGATAGCACCACCACCACCACCTCCTTTGCCAGCACCTGATCCACGTTCTCCGGACATTCTCATTTGGCTGCAACAACCAGAAGACTCTTTTAATTAGTACCTTTTAGTCTTTTATACTGCCAAAAAATCTGTGGCGTGACAGTAGTAGTTAAAAATAGTGTGAACTTATGTCATGGATGCATTTAGTAGCTGAGTAAGTTAATGCAATACAGTGTAACATCAAAGTATAAATAACAAAATTAACAAGAATATACAACACAATATTGACGAATAAATGATTTTCTGTAATGAATCCCATGAGTATTACATAATTTTGGTACGCATGCAAAGAGTTGAATAATTCTTCATGTACTTACTAAACATATTCGACAGAATTCTGATCGATCAAGAATCAGTTATTTAAAAAATTGTGGCAAAAACAATTGAAGAAAAACAAAATATAACGCACTTAACGTTTAAACGTCGTCATGCAAAGGTGTGCGGTAAAGCCGGGACCATATTAAATGACGCAGTAAAAGACCGATATATATATATATATATAGACTTCGTTAACGACTTCACAAAAGACATTCTTTGGTACCTGAATGAAGCCATATTCCGTGAAAATGTAGCAATAGCTCGTTGCATTGTTCTTGGTTGAAAAATTTCAAAGTGCAGCAAGTACTAAGGATTCCAATGGAAACCATACACTACCACTATAAAACGAGAGGTCGCCGTGTCGTCCTCTCCAGCGATAGTTATGCGAGATGACCGTTACGGCGCTCTACTGGCGGCAATATTAATTCAAAATCCTCGCGAATTTACAAAATCTTATTTCTTATAACAATTTACGAAATAGTAATTGAGAACATACATGTTTCTACATATGTACAACTATAAAAATAATTGATAAATGTTGACAAATGCGAACAGATGGAATAGACCTCTTTCATGGAATACAACCTGTAGTATTCAGCCGCTTGACTCTCAATCAATTGTTTCTTAATCTCCGATGTCTTCAGTTCGTTAATGGCCGTCTGTTTCTGTAATTCTGCGCGTTTTAGCTCGATGTTCAGCATGTTCAGCTTCAAATCATGCTCTCTTTGGGCCATTTCATACAACCATATCGACTTCTGAATCGTTTCTTCTTCACCCCCCGTCCGACCATACCTTTCTCTCAAGGAAGACCCGGCTAAACCTTCTTGTATCCAATAACAGAGCATATTTAATTCAAATTAATATCGTAACGCTAGCATATATAAACTGGCAATGAAAATATTAACCCTTTCACAGTATATTCTTTCCCCCTCAGACAATCTATGAACTACCAATCTAGATAGCCAAATAGACAATGCAAAGAACGCTAACCTCGATCACACTTTATTACGCTCTGAAACGGTTAACCTCATTATTCAAACTATTCGGTCAAAAATTCATATAATTGTCCTAGAAGGAAACTTAATCCGGGAAACTTTCACCCAGTTTCACGAAAAGATTTAAGGATACCATTATCGAAGTGGCGAATCGTGGTGTCCTCGTTGCATCGCTTTTGTTCAGCTAGATCCATTGGCTCGTCCTCGAAGATCCGTGCTCGTTTCCGTTCCAGGCCGTCCGAATTCTTTCTGAAAAGTTCCGCTCGGCTCTCTTCGTCTGTATTGTACTCGTCGCTCTCCGCTTCGACTTTAATTTCGTTAACTGGCATTTCCGGCGAGGTGGCCGTCAGCTTGTCCAGGATCGCTTGCAGATTCGTGGAGTTCTCCGGACTTTCTTGACTGTTTTCGTCCGAGCGTTCGCCGTCGACGTCGTTTTTCCTCGCTCTGCCCATCAATTTCCATACCTCGATCGAGAGGTTCGACGGCCGACACTTGGCTGCTTCTTCGGGACCCGTGTTCTTCACCTAAGCACACAATCCATTATGTAATTTAAACTTACTTCCTTCCTTGTACTCGAGTCTTTCTACTAATACAACGACTTAAGTCGAGGACTAATTAAAGTCGGCGAATCACCTTCTCGAGAAAGGTGTGCATCTCCATCCTAGCCTGCGCCTTCATCCTCCTCCATTGCTCCTTTATCCTAGTGATGTCCCTGTCCGTGGAGAATCTGCCCCGAAAGTCACAGTGGATCTGTTGCCAGGCGAGATTCTTCATGGCTGAGGCGGCCGCGTCGACCTTCTTGTTCTCGATCGCATTAACGTGCGCTTTGATCAACGTGAACAAAGCGTTCTTCTCCTCCGGGATCCAGTTCTGCGTCCGTTCCCTCTTCTTCAGCAGCACCGTCGTCGCGTTCGAAGACATTCTCCTCTAATCCTCTATCCCGATCCTCGTATATCAGCTCCGTTTCCCGACCGATTCCGTCTTAATTCCGCGATTTACGGGACGCACGTGTGCTCCGTTTTCTCGATCATCGATTAGAGACAATGTTCGTCACGTTTACTTGTTTAATCGCTGGTTTAGAGCAGTCAACTGTTTAATCAACGTCGACACACGCGCCCATAGTGTGTCCGAAAAATACGGTACCAATTGTCCGTATCTGTTTTTCTGGGAATCGTATAATTTATCTGTATATCTTAAACTTATGATGTTACTGTCTTCTAAGATCTTCTGGAATATCTCGATACGCGTCATAGATGTATCGATCAACGAAATCCACCTCGTTCTGGTGCAGTAACGCGAGAAAAACTCGGAAAACACAAGGTCTAAACGTGGTTCAAGCAATCCCACACAACGCCGAGAACAACCAGCGTTGGCGACGTTCAGTTAAACCTGAACTAAGGAACGACTAAACGTCGGCCATTTTGGCTCGGTACTAGCTAGGCGCTCGATACTAACAAATCCTCGATTCCCAACCCCAGGGAGTGAGAGAAGCTTTGCAAGAGGGGGTGAAAGAGAGAGAGAGAGAGAGACAGCGAGGGATACCAAAGGAGAGAGAAAGAGGGTCAGAGAGGGTGAAAACGGGCGCAAGAAAGAGAGGGAGAGTTGGACGACCAGCGTTCCGCGCAACGCAAACATTGTTTCGTTTCATTTCGCGATCCATCCCGGAATCATATTGCGCCGATTCCAACATTTCCATCGTTTTATTGCCGCTCAGGCCATCCCTACCTTCGATCCACTCCCCGTCGTCCCTTTCCCTTATGACCGTTCCCTGATCATTGATCTTCCGACTAAATCTACCGACTCACTCTATTTAAGCTATTCTCCACCGGAAACTAACTCTCAAGTGGACCTGCGAATATATTTATGCAACTGTAAAAAGAAGGGATCTATAATGTAAACTTTACTTGGCCATACGTCATGCGCTGTGCGCAACCAAAACTTTTTGAATAAATAAAGAACTCTCGCGGCACGTAAAAACGACATTCACGTTGCAATTGATACGACGGATGTATTTAATACTTTCCTCTTACGCATTTAAAAATAAACCCTATAAATAACGAAACTGTAACCATGAATCGCCTTTGTCGTTTTTAACCCTTTGCACTCCGATGTCGCCGCTGCGGGGACAGTGGCGAAATCTACGTAGAAGCAACTTTGTATTTTTATATATTTAAAAATTAAAATATTCTTCACTTTTCCATGGCAGCCTCTACTGTTACATTGCACGTATAATTGTGTGTTAAAATTAAATAGTCCTAGAGTAGTTGGTTGCTCATAGTAAAAATGACTCGGAGTTGCTGGCAAAGGGTTAAGTTTTCAACGATTTTTCAACCAATTGGATCTATAATTTCGAAGTATTCTCTATACTGTTTAATGAGAAAAACCGGAGAAGAAACAAACGAAAGGAATACGTTCACCCGTAAGCATCAAGTGTCATTGCTATCCGAAGCAGCTTTCACGGTTCCGTTGGCTATCTGAAAATCCGCATCGGTATGCGTTAAACCATTTTCTTGTTACACCGGTGTAATCCTTCCAGTCGCAAGCGCGTTCGTCGCGCCGCGGTCTCGTTGTGTAACGCGCCACCGTTCCGTATAAGAGACACACCATCGCCTCTTCCCTCGCAAAACCACTCGCGATGGTGTCGTATTGTGGTGAATAACATTCGCCTCCGGTTACCATAGCCTAGTCACAGCATACCCACGGTGCACCCAAACAACGTGAAGAGACAACGTGATACCGAATAATACGATCGAAAAAATATTCCGTTACGAAAGAATACAAATTTTCTTTGACCAATAATCCGGGGTAAATGTTAAAACGTGCATTAGTGGAAAATAAAGACAGGTGATTTGTTAATTAGAGGATCGATGAATCGTTCTACGAACGTTACGTTGAAGGAGGTACATATACTTCTGCGATGAGTTACGTAATGTGAATTGCGTGCTGATAGGATGAGCCCACTGGTAGTTATCAATGGGAATCCTCAAGGTTCTCTGTGGATCAGTGACAGTAATTAAGGAATAAAGAAATAAAGGTTCTCCTGTTCTTCGTCGATTGTGATTCCCTGATATTGACTTTTGGATTCCTGAACTCTTTGAGGTCTTCCGGATGATCTATTTTCAGACTGTCAGAGTAAGTAAACTAACGATTGAACTGTATTGCGTAGAGCTGGGTGAAGGTGGTGGGTTATTTCGATTGATTTTCTTGGTAAATAGACTGCACGATCATTTTCAATTTGTCTTTAGCGAAGTATACCGTTTGCTTCTTGAAATAAACTCGTAGAAATGTCTGCAGACTTTGGTTTATACTTTTCTTCCTCGAAGGTTGCGGTTTGAGGTGGTTGCAGGCCTTGCATAACAGTATTTCTGTTTTTGTTACACATATCGATCTGTATGATTTTTGCATAGGATTAGTAACTATTGTTCGGGTATTATTAAAACTTATTGGAATATGGAGGAATTATTCTTGTGAAACTGATCGATCGAAATGCTTGGATCTGAGATCGATCCAGTGGCTTATATAAACAACACCATTATTCTAGCCGGTCCAATATGGCGACGCGTGCAAGCCGGACCTGTACTTTATGTAACCGCACCTGACCTACAGGCACTGCATGATGAGACGGTATTGGTGGAAGGGCTTTGATCAGCGTTGCAACAAGAATTCTTGTATAATTACGTGCTCCATACGTCCACTAAGATAAATGTGTCCTTCATCGCCGTTTGTCTGGATTTTTTCATTTCTTATCGCGAATCGTTAGCTAAATTCCTCCTTCGTTGTCGCTCGTGACACTCGATATTGAAAGATGAACCACAATTGTCTTTGATATCTACTAACTTTTAATAACTCTCGAAAGGCTTGAAATTTTTTTTATGAATTTCTATTCACCGTTTATGTAAATGAAAAGTGACGAACAATGGTTGCACCACGTTACGTGAATTCATTGGACTATGAATTACACTGGAAAGTAACGTTTGAAAGAAAAATCAAATATGTAAATGAACGATGAAACATGTTTCTATTTCTAATTCAGAAAATGATGTATGAATAATTTTTCCAGATGGAACACAACGTAAATTATGTCAGGTTATCGCAAAGCCTGCCGAAAGACTTGTGTCTCACGTGGAAGAACATTTCGTTCACGGTTCAGAAAAAGTGCAATGGTGGTGGCCTGCGGGCGATGTTCGGATTACAGCAGACTGAATTTATTTCTTTGCTAAACGGAGGTATACATATAATTATAATATATATATATATATATATAATATTAAACGATATAAAAATAATCTAACGTCGTTTAATGTTCCATTCTGTTTTCAGTCAGCGGTATAGTTAATTCGGGGATGTTGATGGCTATCATGGGACCAAGGTAATTCCGCGGGAAACACGCGTATCGTTAATCGACGAACGACTAAAAAATTTTAATCTATCGTTACGTTGTACCGAAAGAAAAAAAATTAATACAAATTAATAACCCTCGCGACCAGCCCTCCCCCGCTTTGTATCCTCAGCTAAAGGCGGTCCGCTGATGTTTTTAATATTAAAATCCGGGGAGCGCAGGTAGCCGAGACAAAATTGGATCTTCAAAGTGAAGCTCGTAAAAATTACGAGCGCTTTAGTATGCCAGGGTTAATTGTTTCCAGCATGGAGAAAAAGTTTTCCTCACTGAAAGAACTTCTCGGTTTGCAGCGGCGCTGGGAAAACTACGTTGCTCGCGACGATCAGCCGACGCGTTAAAGGTTCATAAATCCACTGTCTTTTTTTCTCTCTTCCTTTACGCGAACTAGAGCACCGGAGAACACCGTAACAAGCTCCTTTGTTTTCGTTTTCGGACCAAAATGAATTATCATTGTTTTTTATTTTTGTCAGTTATTTTACCACGTGAAACGTTCTCTGTCCTTCTGTCGTGTATCTCGTTGAAATGTAATCCTTTCGGCAATTCATTTTCCAAGAAACAAAACAAGCATACATGGATCTTTGACAATTAAAATTTCTGATTGATAGGAAGAGCAACGGGCGATATACTTCTGAACGGGAAACCCATTGACACCGGGCAAATGATAAGGATATCAGGCTTCGTCCCGCAAACAGACTTGGCGGTCGAGTCGCTCACAGTTCAGGAGCACATGGATTTCATGGTTGGTCCGATTAAAATCAGATAATTCCACTTTATCATTCAACTTTCCCAGCTTTCGAATACCCTCGATTCAGCTTCATTATTCATGTTCCGGTCGTGACCGATCCCGTCATCGATAACTCAAACCGATCGACGTTTATGGGACACTCCTTCACGGTACGCTGTGTCGTATAATTATATTCGATAAAATCGCGTGTCGATCGACGTCCAATGATTTTAAATGATTACATTCAACGGCGATCGACACTACTGGTTTTTGTTTGATCCTGAAGTCAATTAGATAGACATCTCGTATGACAGGTAACATAAAGATTGAATATTATCGATGTTCAAAGATTTATAATGTTTCAATTTGTACGAAACCAGTTTTATAAACGAAACTTTTTATTCTTGTCGCGGTTCCACGTGATTTTACGTTGTTCGACTATTTCAAAGCATCATTTCACGTTCCGTTACCCCCGATCCCGTACCAAAATTCATTTTAAACTTTAATTCGCAATTCCATCAGTCCCTTCGCAAGTTAAATCATATTCAGTCATCGTTCGAAAATTGTTGGAGTCTCGAAGCCATCAGAACTTTATGATTGTTTCCATCGATTAAGGCCTGCATGAAAATGGACAGGCGAGTTCGTTTGGCCGTTCGAAAGCAACGGATCGCCGCCATTTTGGCGGAACTGGGTCTCGGAAAATGCGGCAACACGAAGCTGTCGACGTTATCGGGCGGAGAAAGAAAAAGGGTAGCTCTGGCCGTTCAAGTAAGCAAAAGTATCGCGAAATATCTCGTAAAGTAAACGCTTAAAAATGTCTTTTGAATTGAGAAATCAGATTACAATCTGTTTAAGTATACTTTGGCCTACAATTGCCTTAATATGAAATACACATAGGGTAGAGAATAATTGTTCTAGCTACTAACCGAGCCGAACATTCTCTTCTGCGACGAGCCAACCACGGGTTTGGACAGTTACGGCGCACTGACAGTGGTGAGAACGCTCAGAGAAGTCGCAGCTAGCGGAAGAATCGTAATTTGCTCTGTGCATCAGCCTGCTTCCGGTTTGCTGGACATTTTCCACGAGGTTCTTTTGCTTTCCAACGGAAGAGTAGCTTTTCAGGGCTCCTCCGCCGATGCCACGGAATTTTTCGACAGGTTCGAAGAATATTTATTTCTTTTGCTGTTCAACTACATACCTTCATGATCGAGAAAATTCCATTTTTAGCCTGGACCTGCATTGTCCACCGACCTTCAACAGCGCCGAATTTTACGTCTCTCAGTTGTCGATCGTTCGAGGGAAGGAGGCTGAAAGTTACGAAAAGGTGAAGAAACATGAAGACGGATAGAAGGAAATAGGAAAAGAAATTCAATAGATTCACCGTGGTGATCTTGAATGTTCCCAGGTGAATTGGATCTGTGACCAATACGAGAAATCCGAACACGGTCAGAGGATCTCGAAACTGATCGAGTATTCTTGCGCCGGTGTAATAGAGTCCAACGAGCTTCCGTTAATATTCTCGGAGGTTCCAACAGCTCCCAGGGATTTCAAGAAGGCTCCAGCGTTTACGCAGGTGCGATGGCTCACCTGGAGAACGTACGTCGATTACAAAAGGAACTCAGCTTCTAATCTGCTCCGATTTGTAACTTACATGGTGAGATTGAACGACGTATTTTATTATCTATAAAAAGATGACATTTCCGTTTGAACAAATTCTTCTTACTTTTCTGTCTTTCAATTTTTCCACTTAGAAATCTCGATTTCTAATCGCTAGACAAAGTGTGTTTGAAGTTTATAGGCCTGCTAGTAGCCTCACCCTACGTGGACGTGACAAGTGAACCGATGGACCAGGGTGGAATACAGAACATGCAAGGACTTTTGTACCTGGTGGTCGTCGAGACTGTGTTCACCTTTAATTACGCCGTGTTCTACACTTTCCCTCGTGAACTGCCACTTTTACTACGCGATATCGCTGGTGGACTCTACAGTCCAGCGCCATATTATATCAGCAAGGTTCTCGTTTTGGTGAGACACGTAAATATAACTATTAAAAATAATTCCCATCTTCTGGTAATGATCACGTTTTCAGATACCTGGCGCGATATTTCAACCACTACTTTACGCATTGTTAATATTCGTCATCACTGGACTGAAGGGTGGAGTCTCGGGTTTCGTTTACTTCGCACTGCCAGTAATGGTCTCCGCAATTTCCGCGTCAGCTCTCGGTGAGGACTCGAATTACGATAATGTTCCAATGCACTCTGTCCGTTACACTGCTTTTTATAGAATTGTACGACTTGGGTTTCCCGAACAGGTTTATTTTTATCGGCGTCGTTTAAATCAGTGGACACCGCCTCCCTCTTCTCCGTGCCTTTGGACTTTCTTGGGCTGATGTTTTGTGGGATTTACTTGCACCTTGGGTAAGGACGAGCAATCGTACAAAGTACAAGCAATCGTAAAACTTGGGGCTGTATAATTTTCGAAAACCTTGTTTTTCCAGACACTTATCGCCCGGTATCGTGTGGTTGAAATACGTGTCCCAATTCTATTACGGTCTGGAAGCGGTTTCTTTAACTCAATGGCTACAGATCGATCACATAAGTACATTCCCATTTGTTGCATTGAATAATATTCATGGAGGAAGGATATCAAGGAATTATTTATATTTATTTTTGTATTTTCGAAGACTGTTCGCCGGATCCTGAAGAGCCTTGCATATCCAGCGGTCTCGGAGTCCTTGAGAAGTACGGTTATCTTCCGGGTCACTACGTAATGGATCTGATTGGTCTGCTGATAATATTTGCCGTCAGCCATTTTGCTGGTTACCTTCTAATCCGTCGTCGAAGCAGCAAGGAGGCCGTTTATTAAAACACTGAATCACGATTTAGTTAATTAACATATCGTCTTCCCCGTCATCTCGGAATGTCAATATTTAAATAAAGCTCGATTAACAATTAACAATACTAAACCGGCTCCGTCATACACATAAGTACTACAGTTATAAAGAGAGAAAAAATGGTGAATTATGGAAAGAGGCGTGGAACGCTCAGCGAAAACGCTCAAATCTCCGCCTTCTCGTTCCCACTACTATCAAGCCACTGCCCCCAGGATCAATTCAAGGATATTTAATGGTGGAAGAAATACCTACGAGATCGACGGGACATCATTGCGACACGAAGAAGCACCGAGTGCATTACAATTTAATAATATATTGACTTTCAAGTAATTTACTATAAATTATGTGTATATATATATATATATATATATATATATATATAATATGTTTCTTATATATATATAATTACATTATATTATGTATATATGTATAATACCTATCGACAATTTCGAAGACACGGATTACGTGGCACCGTAAAGTGTTAATCTTCGTGAACTTAAAATTAGTAAACGTAACAAGTTGTATGCTCGTTTCCGGCCGAGAGAACCGGAAACACGAGACGTGGACGAGAGGGAATATTCGTGTTCGCTAGTGAACGCTCGTACGATATCGAGTATAAAAATGTTCTGTTGTTCGCAGCCACCGACGAACTGCGTTCTCCATCGTTGAACCAATCGGAAGGATCGAACCTCTGTTCGTTAGAGCTTGCTTACATAACCTAGATTTATTAGTAACGTACGATCGATACTCTGCTACCTGTTAGCTACCGTTTTCAGTTAGTTTCTCTCCCATGGAAAGCATCCACGTTGGAAATATCGAAAAACTCCGAAGACCACCAAACAAAACAAAGTACAGTCGATCTTAGAGAATAATCGAATTCGATGTAAAAATGAAACGACGGCAGCGAGAAAGGAACTGTAAGTATAAAAGATTCTTTTCGTTCTTTCTTTTTTTTTCAGAACATAAAATAAGTGCACATGGAACGTTATAGCAACTGGAATGTTCGTTTCATCGTCGTAATAGTCGAACTTCTTTCCCCTGATGCCTGGAATTAATCATTAATATCTATAACTTCGGTAAAAATGGATTGCTTCCGGGTGTCTTAATTCCGGCATCAGAGAAACTGAGAAGTTTCCGGGGTACAAATCGGAAAATCGAAGGCTGGATGTGTTAAAACTGCGCGTTAATATTTAACCTCGGCGGACCCGTTCGAAACGTTAATAATCGCTAGTAAAATTCGTGTATCCCTTCGGTCTGTCATCGCCATTCGTTGCGTCAGGATCACCCCGTTATTTATTTCAGAACCGCTAAATACGCTGATGTATAAGGGGAATATAGATCGAACGTGCTGAACTGGTACCGTTTACCTCGAAGAACTCCAAACCCAACAAAATACTCTACTTTTTCATTACGAAACACATAATATCTTTGTCCCCAGTTCAGTAACCAAAACCATCCCCAAACTTATGCGTCAGATTTCGCATGTATATACAAAAGTCGAGTGCGATCGAACCGGTGGAGAAACGTCCCCGACGGGAAGACAGTCAGAACGGCCGACTGATAATCGAGCACGGTTAAATCTGAGCGGCTGGCGTTGTTTCCACAAGTAGGCGACCGAGACGAAATCCGATGACTGACGAGGACCAAACGGAACACGGTTTTAGTGTCATGGCACCGACGGCAATACGACGACGAGGGGACGACGACAAAGGACCGGATGATCCTGTTGTCGGTGGTTTACCGATTCGTCAGCAGGAATCTGGTCCTGGGATCCATTGCCCTTCATCAACTGGTCATTTTGTAGTATCTGAAAGAAAGAAGTTGATTTTATTTTCTTAAAATAATGCAAAATGTCGATAATGTTCTAGATCGGTCTTTCCACGAATTTAAACCGACAGAAAATGAATCTCATTTATCCGTCTGTCGTCACGCAGGTGGTAGAACCAACGAATTGCTTCTCATAAACGTGCGTCGCCTCGCTAAGAGGATCGACCACTCGGCGAAACGACGTCACTCATGAATCCATCGAGGCGTACTATTATATAGATGATATTCCACAAATAACTTGTGCGTAGCTTCCCGACTGTCTGGGTTAATCGAATTTCACTCGGAGCGAAAACAACACACGGTCTAATGTGAAGAATGGTTATGGTATTATCGACGATTTAAATTCACTCACTTTACTGACGAGGAATCTGGCCGCTTCCTCGATGTTAATGTTCTCCTTGGCGGACGTCTCGAACCATCCGGCGAAGTTCTTCTCTTTGCAATACTCCTCCATTTTCGTGGGCGAATTGACGAGGCCCTCCCTCTGCTGGTCGCACTTGTTCGCCAGGAGGACGCAGGGTATCGGTGAACCGTCAGGTAATTGCACCTTCGAGTCCAGATCCTGTTTCCACTTCACCACCGCGTCGAGGGTCGCGCTCCTCGTCACGTCGAACACAATAAAGGCACCCACGGCTTCTTTGTAGTACACCCTGGTCATGTTCCCGAATCTTTCCTGGCCTGAAACACCGAAAGACCAGATATCTCTTGAAACTCTTCGAAATATGCAGGAATTCTAAATTACGTATAGAAATTTGAAAGAATATAAGAGTGAAAGAGAGTTTCGACACATCAACGAAGCTTCTATATAAGCGATTCTATGTCGGTAGAGAATTATTTACCGAATCGAGAAATGGTCACAAGTGGAACAGAAGTTTATAGAGAAGAAAATGTAGAGTACAGCGTCGGACTGCGTGCTGGATGTGTGTCACGCAGAAAAATACGAGAAATCGCGGGGAATTATCGGGAATCAAAGGAGCTGTCATCGAATTATTGTGTCGCTGAATGTAGGGGAGAACGGGCGATTGTGAATTACGACTGACCTGCGATATCCCACAACTGGAGCCTGATGATGGTGTGAGGGTCCCAGTTTAACACTTTCAGGGCGAAGTCGACGCCAATCGTCGCGCGATAATGCTGCGAGAAGAACTGATGGACGTATCGCTTGATGATGGACGTTTTCCCGGCGCCAAGCTCACCGATCACCAGGATTTTATACAAGTGCTCGCGTTTCTCGCCTACTCCGGCATTCGCCGTATTGTTCTGCGACGACTGCAAGAAAACAACCGAACAAATTATTTAACAGTCAGGAATTATTACAAAATTTAGAAATCGAGGATTAACGTTTACGATGCTGCTTTCTATTTTATCCGTTTATTTGTTTCGTGTGTCTTCGTTACACTCATTAATTATTTACCGCAAGAAACTAATCAAATAAACGATTTATCGACTCGTTTATTTATTCAACGTGTTCTACGTGTACACGTCTCATATTGTTGCGATTTCTGAACGTTTCGAGGTCCCACGCGAATTCACCGATTCGTCACTTCAGCATTTTCATAGGGAGCCCCTTATCTTATCGTCGCTCCGAAGAGAAATGACAGCGTGCGCACGGCAGCCGTTGCAAGAAGTGGCGGGGGAGCAATCAATTATGGAAAGTGGTGACTCTCTGGAGCGCACCGTTTGAATATCGATGATGTAATTTTGAACGGGTCTGATTTATACACGTGCGCAAAACTTTCTTCTCGATACCGTAAATTCCGTGGAACTACCCTCCATATTTAAAAATTGTCAGAAAATTAAAACCGTTTCAATTTCTAACAGTACAAAATTCTCATCACGTAATATACACTTTCTATATTTTCCGCCGCTAAACCGTCACCGTAGGAATATTTAAAAGGAAAACAGACAACACGAAAATTAGATAAAACGTTTCCATGGCAAACTGGTGAACGAACCCTGCAGACTTTCCACTTTTTCGGATGTGTCCTCAATTTGTTACAGTTCAGCTCGAGACTCTTCCAGAAATTGCTCTCTGCGTCCATGGTCCTGAGACGTTTCTGAATCAACGTTGCTCCAACGCGAACAAATCGTTCCGAACCGGACGACGCGCACAGCTCAAATGACTCACAGGGGGAAGAATCGTCCGGGAATGCGAACAAACAACTCGATCCCCGTCAACAAATACGACGATGGAATAACAGATCGGTGATGGGAGGCCAGCCGATTCGAGGAAAAAACTTTGTCCTAATTATTTCCAGAACCCCAAAAACGATCCTCTAAAACGAGTCTAGACCCTTCCGTATTCATCTCTACCAATCATATCGAGATGATAATTCCTCAATGAATCCGATCTGGGATAAACATCTCCAGGATTCGACTTTCCGTCGACTACCAACCGATTTTGCGAAGTATTATAAATACGGTGTTAATTGTCTCGTTGAAAACCCCAGATTAATGGGTACCCGTATGAATTCACCATTCAAACTCTGTCATTCGAATACTGAATTATCTCGAGCCTGTCATACAACTAGGACCCGTTAACTGTTTCCTGGCCCCTTGTTTAACCAAAGTACTTCGTTTCTCTCGATCGATTTCGCTACCGTATCTCTTCGAACCAGGTACACCCCCAATTCCCCTGTTTCTTGCGACCCCCTACGTGTCTCAAGACTGTCTTCAGGGGGCTGTTTTCGGAGCTGGAGTGTTCTTTCCCCGTGTCCGTCCTCTCGAGACGTCGGCCAATTAAGCTTTTCCCGCGGACGAGAGGCACGTCGAACGGAGATAGAGCACGGACTAGGTGCCGCGCCAGGTAATCCGAGACTCTGCGCGAGATCGAGCGTCGCGCGAAAGATACCCATCCAAGGGGGACGAGAAAACGGGTCGTGGAACCGCAAACCAGGACCGCAGAACCCGTCGATCGATTCCCTCCGTCATAGAATTACAACCGTTTCACTTTGTCGCGACAGCGAACCGCGCGGGAACGTTTCGAAATCCAAGTGAGGCCAGACGAGGGCCCAGATATCGAGGAAAGAAAACCGCTGGTTATGCAAAGACTCGAACGAATAGCAAGTGGAGAAAAAATCGTTGGAAGGCTTGTCTCCTAGCTGGTGTCGAGTTCCTTGGCCTATACAAGTATACGATTTCTATGGAAACTTTAAATCCCGATAAGCTGCGATGGACAAGTGTCTATTGTTACCGAAGACCATTTTTTTGGGTCTCAGGGGATGAAAGATGACGAACGAATGTCCCTCCCAAAAGAAAATGTATACAGGGTGTCTCGCCCGATTTTTACATCTTGATTTTCTCGTTATTGTTGCTCGTAGGAAAAAATGTTTCAGCGGAGGCTTGAATGGTATCGAGTGGAGCATATTCTGATGTTATTAGGATATAAAGGTCATCTTTGTTTTTTTAAGTGGAACGAGGTATTTTTTAATACATGTATCGATGCAAATGGACACTCGTTATAAAAATGTACTAACCTATGTATGTCGATAAGTTAGTAGTTCAGGAGATACTTCAATTTAAATAATTCTAAAATACCATTACTGTCGTACTTTATTACTATTCCTGTAAATAAACGCTAACGTACGACAGTAATGTTGTTTTAGAATTATTTAAATTGTAATATCTCCTGAACTACTAACTTTTCGACATACATAGGTTAGTACGTTTTCATATGTATTAAAAAATACCTCATTCCATTTAAAAAAAAAAGTTGAACTTTATATGACCTTCACGCGTCCACTCACGAAAAAACTAATAACATCAGAATATGCTCCACTCGATACCGTTCAAGCCTCCGCTGAAACATTTTTCGCTACAAGTAACAATAGCGAGAAAATCAAGATGTCAAAATCGGGTGAGACACCCTGTACAGGGTGTTTCGTTTAAGTGGAAACGGTGGAATATCTCACGAAGGATTAAAGTTATCAAAAAAATGTTCGTACAAAAGTTGTTTTGTACAAAGGGGGACATTACATGGTATAAATCATTTTTCTATAAGTGTAGTAGTGGGAGAGATATCAAAGTCAAGTTAATTTTTTTAAATGGAACCCTGTATTTTTTTATTCATATTATGATAGTGTTTGTTGAGACGAATACAACGAACTGCCACATGATATCATTCCCTGTAGTAGGAAGTGATAAATTAGTAAGATTTTAAGAAGTCAGTTCAACGCAAATCGTCTAGTTGAACCCTACGTGACGAAATAGAAACAAACGATGAAACAAATGAAAACTGTACGTGTTTTGTTTTCAACAAAGAAATGCCAAACAATCTTAAACTGACTGTTATTTTCAGTTTCGAACAACTTTTGTACGAACATTTCTTCGATAACTTTAATCGTTCATGAGATATTCCGCCGTTTCCAGTTAAACGAAACACCCTGTATATCAATTAGAAACATGTTAAATAACTGACAGACTAAAACCCGCTACGGTGAGATATCAAGAAACTCTCACCGTGCTGTCTTGACTGACGACTTTCGACTTCTCCATAGTGTCGGTGCTGCCAACCATGGGTGCCATGGTGGCCAGGTACGGTGGATACGGTTCGTTCTGACGATCGTAGCTCTCCGTGTAATCCTCCTCGATACCTGCCAGGTAACCGACCCCAGTCGCCTCGTCGAACGTGCCCTCGAACGTCGAGAACGTGTCGAACTTCTTCACGCTGATGTGCCGTGCCTTCTTCTTCTTCGTGTGCTCTTCCCGTTTCTCCTCGTCCTTCGACGCTTTGTTCTCCTCGTCGTCGAGATCGACGGCGACCACCGTCCCGCTGGAATCGGAATCACGCGTGGTCTCGAACAATCGACGTTGAAAGATCGCCCTTTTCTCCTCCAGCAACGACAATTTCCGTCGCACCTCGTGCGTCGCCGATTTCGTGTGTATACCAGACTCGGATTCCGATTTCGTGGTCAATTTCGACTTTCGACCAGAATCACCGACAGATTTCGCGCTCTTCTGCTCGGGCCATTTCGTGATCGCGTACGGAAGCGTCGAGCTGCAACGCAGATCCGCCTGAGAGTCTGACTTCTCTTGACTCTCCTTATCTACGGTGGCAAAGATGACGTGTTCATGGGGATTCGTTCATAGATGTACAGATTCTGTATTGTTGTATTTATGATAGGGTTAAGACAATGTTCGTTAACATCTACTAGATACTATTACTTAGGAATGATGGTAGAAAGCATAGGGGATAAGAGATGATCATCTTATACTTCATTACAGAAAGACAGTTTAGCTTAATGACACTGCTGACCAAGTACCGTCAGAAAGCAGAGAAATATAAAACACGTAAACTTTCCGGCATAATATCAATTCATCGCGACCAGTTGCAGAAACCAAAGACTCTAACAGAAAGGTCCTTACCGCCTAATGTCTGCTAACTCTCGGTATCTAGCTACCGTCTCAGTCGACTAGCGCCAACGAAGCCGAACAGACTTAGGAACAGGCGAGAAAGGGTTAGTCTGAGATGACTCGATGCTCCAGGAGCAAAGAATCCCAGGAACCGATCATTAGAGAAGACCAGCAGCAAGGATCGCGACGGTGGAAGCGTGAGCGAAAGATGAGAGGACGCTGGGACTCCTCACGAATAGATCGCTCACCGTGTGGACTCTTGGAAAAGCTCCTGATGGTCAACGACGGCGACCTGCGTTGCACTACGGTGACAGTGCTCACCGGTTTCTCCAGCAGCTTCTCCGGTTTCCTCGGCTCCCCCCTCTCGTTCCCGTCACGTGCCACGTCGTAGGTGTCGCGATGCCTTTCCTTCTCGTTCTCCTGCCCCTTCCGAGCGATCCTGGACGGGCTGTCCGAGAGGCTAGGCGACTCCTGCGACGATTGGCTCTGGGAACGACTGCTATCACCACCCTCGGGCGTGTGCCGTGGCTCCGGTTCCGTCGACAGGCGAAATTTGTTCAGGCTCAGCTTACGGACCAACAGGTGCGACTTCTTCGTCTTCTTCTTCTTCAAGGCCGAGACCGGGCCGGCCTTCCGATCGTCCTCCTCCTCCTGCGGACTCCTCTTGCGACACGTTTCTGTTCACGGCACAGAGGAACCCCAGGTCAGAGCGGATTTCTGATCGATACTTCGACGGGATTTTTGGATGGATTTGTTGGACACTTTGACCAGGTGTGATGGTAATTATGATTTTGTGGATAGTATGGAGAAGGATCTTAACGGTGAAACGGGGTTGTCTTAGAATTCTATGGAACTGGAGAATGACAGGGAGTTTAATTTAATTAGACGTGGCTCGATCGTAAAAACAACGGTAATTGACCGCGAGGAAAAAACAGAGAATTGCATAAATCCATCATAATTAACGAGCTCGATGGATTCCAATAACGGTCGAGACGAGAGCCATTAAGACGATTGATACCTCAAAGAATCCGTTCGGATATCCCGAGTCACGGGGTTAAGTATCACGGTACAACAAAGCGATAATGAAAAAAAAAAACATGAAAATAAAACAGATTATCATTCCGATCCCCAAAGAAGATACCCTACATCGAGCACTTCCATCTACGAGAAAAAAGAAAAAAACAAATTACCAAAGAATCACGTCGATCACTACGAAAAAATGTCCTGACAATTCGCAACCACCGTATCGACCACTACATCCCCTACAAGAGAAACACGGTAATCGAAATGAAAATTCCATTGACAAAAAAAAGATTCCACTCCACCATCGTATGAACCTTTTTCGTCAACATCCGGCTCCGTCTGATGGACACCGTCCTCGCCAGATCGGTTCTTTTTCTTGATCTTGAACAGTCCGCCCTCCTTCCGGAAGCTGTTCTTCAACGCGCCGAATCTTCCCCTCTTCTTCTCCTCGACGATGTTCGCGCCAGCGGCGTTGGTCAGGGTGTCCAAACTGGAGCTACTCTCGCCCACGGTCACGTACTCGCCGGACGTGCTGCACCCGTACCTGTTCCGATCCTCTTCGGACGACGAACGTCCTATCACAGTGTCCGGCGAGCTGCCACCCTCGTTTGCGCTCTCGTTCCGATCCATTATCGTTGTACCAACCACCGGTCACCCCCGGGGTTGTAGAAGGAGAGAGGGTGAATTTTCCTGGTCTAAACGACACACAGCCCTGTTCTCAACGTTTCGTGTGTCTCTCTCTCTATGGGCGGCGTGCACGTAGTCCACGGCGTGGCTTCCTCCGGCACCAGTGGAAACCTTAGAAGAACCTCGCTTTCTAGGTTCCTGAGGCGGCCCCACCGAACGGTTAATCCGACAACGTTTCCCTTCCACCCCCACCCTACGTTTCCTCTACTCTCGTTTTTCCTGCCCTGCTACTCCCTTTCCTGTTGGACAGCAAAAGGGGGACAGACACGGTCTCTCGACGCGAGAAGACAAGAGCAGCACGGCCGTGGATGATGGCTTCTGAAATGGAGACGCCTGGGATACCACGATGAACTGGTTCCCCCCTGGATGCTAGACACCAATTTTTACCGGTCAAGTGTTTAACGACGATTAAAGATAAAGCACACGTTGTATACTTTGTTAATTTATACCAGCAACGTAAAAACTACAATTAACCTTCTGGTTGAAAATCGATTGTCGACTGGTCTCCACCCCGGTATCGAGCATTCGATCAACAATGTTCACCACTACTGTCACGTGCGTGCATCGAGTAGGACAGGACCAATGTTCTCCAGGTGAATGAAAAGGAAGATTCGCGAGAGAACGACGTGTGACGTTGCGGTTCGGACCGTGGACCGAGTCGCACTAAATGCTCAGGTAAAAATGCCCAAAGGGGACACACACTGCAGGGGGAGGAGCGTAACCGGTGCCCCTCCACCAAGACGCGTTAACCCGTGCACAAGCGTTAACGACTGCTCGGGGACACGAGCTTTCCGTGGCACGGTCCCGCGAGCACGGCGCAAGATGCCGTAACACACGTAGGCGTAACACGAGTGCCTTGGGTTCTGAGAGGGACAACACCTGGGTGTGCGGTGAGCCGCAAGGCCTCGTCGTCGGACAGGTAACACGTCCCCCCTGGTGGTAGCTATTCGGATCCACCTAGACGATGTCAAGTAACGCGTTACGTAAGGACCTACAGTAAATCCTCGATGAGTGCTCGAGGACTCCTCGGTACTGACAAGGAGAGGTCCCCAGGTGGACAATACCCCGCCATTGAATTATCACCGACCAGAAAATTGTAGAGAATTTTAGTTTCCCCTAAATAAAATTAATTTAATTTGATTTTTTTTTAACTTTGATTATTGCTAGCACATTATAATGATTTATATACAGGGTAGTTTTAGGTCTAAAACAACTATTAACGTCAGTGTATGAACGAACCACCCTGTGTACACTGCGTGGAATAACTATAAAGCCATCTTAAAATTTTCAATCCTTATGTATTGTGGTTATATTAAAATAACCTACATTTGTTCTAAGGAATAAAATCTTTCTTTTTTCTGGAGAAATATATTTCTCTCGACAGAATTCCAGAGATGGAATACTTGATTTGTTTCTATTTTAACCACAATACGGAAGAATTGAAAATTTCAGAATGGTTTTATAGTTACGCCACGTAGTGGATTCTCTGATGAAGCTAGACACGAACCAGAGTAAAGATACTCGGTCTAGTATTCGCTTTCGCTGGCACAATCACACCGTAACGGTTCAATGGATACGTACATAATACGAGAAAGGAAGTCAACGAACATCTCGCGCACGGACTTCGCTCTTGTCGATTTTGTTTATATTAAATAAACCGAAGCACAGAATGAAGACTAGGAGAAAATGTTCGTTAAGAATAAGTGAACTGCTGCTTAACGAACCAGAAATTAAGACCACTTCTAAGAGAAAGAAAATTACTCGAGAGGTCTGGAAAGAAAATTCTTTATTCCCTGGTGGAAAATTTAAAAAACCTGTACTGGAAGGTTAAATTGAATCTGTAAGATTTAAAGATGAAGCTCCGGAATTACATCTGTCTAAACGATACGAGATTGATCGTTTAAGGAAAACAAACTGCGTGTGCGGCCAATTAAACAGAAGAATAGGAAAACAGGATCGTTTGTCGCCGCCAATTAAGATTGTACGATGGAAAAATCGTGCGTAATCGTCGCCTCGTTAGACGGTTTCAATACTCGTCGGTCTACTTTTGGACGTTATCATGGGTCTCATCCCCGTTCGCCGCTAATTAATTAGCTGAATTACGCGGTCGTGCGAGGCAGCACCAGGCGACACGTAATTAGTGCATGAAAAATTTCTTTTTTTTCTTCCGCGAGTGTCAACACTCCGCTGAAGGCGCGTTTCTGTTATCGCTCGGACATGAAATGAGAGCGATATTCTCCTAACGACGCGGCAAATCATCGTTTCAAGAGTAAACATTCGATCATATACACTGCGTGACATAACTATAAAACCACCCTAATATTTTCAATTCTTATATATTGTTTGGTTGAAATAAAAACAAACCAAGTGTGCCATGTCTGAAATCGTGTAGAGATATAATGTTTCTCCAGAAAAGGAAGGAACAAAAAGTGGTTCAATATTATTTTAACCACAATATACAAGAATTAAAAAGTTTGGGGTGGTTTTGTAGTTATCTCACACAGTGTATAGAAATAATATATAAATCATTAACTACTAGAAAAATGAAGAAAATATTCATACAGAATCTCTTTCGAGTAACAAATACTTGAAACTTCCCTGTTTAACATTTGCAGATGATTTTCCTGGTGATGAATTATTCGTGGCCGATGACGTAGAAGTGGTTAATGTCGTCGTTGGAAATATTTCGTGAAGAAACTAGTCGCGTGCTAATCGCAGGATGCGTATTGCACCATGGCAGTCAGGTAAGAGGTCGTGCGAATTTATCGGAACGCAGGAAAACCAGTATCTTACATAAACCACCCCGCACCGACCGATCCACGCGCGATCGTGGAATCGTCGAGGTCGTGCCACGTTTTGATTGGACACTCGCGGTGCGTTCCTCTGTGTCGGTCGAAAGGATTCCACCGTTCGAATGATCCTCGATCGATAAAGCGATCATGTGTACCTTGAGGAAAGCTGGAAAACAGGCCAGCTTCGAAGAACCGCAAGGTTACCTTGGACGAACCGATCCCTTGTTTGTAAACTTGAACAATAATCACGATGAATCTTCGATCGAACCTGATCGCGAATATAGACTCGATATATCATCCAGACAAAACGACACGTTGTCATGGAACAAGAAAAAAGCTCATAAAATGAAATTAAATCAATCTTTCTCGAATGCAAATGCAGAAACAATAAAAATGTTTTATCGTGCCAATAAATGTTACTTCGTTACATAGTTGCAGCAATGGCAGATCGTAAATATGATTTACGAGGGAGCAGACATCGATTCTTGTTTAAATTCATTTGCCATTTGAAATATATTCAGGAAAGTGGGAGGACACGTTAATTGCGCATAAAACCACGACGATTCCTTTCAACAACGCCGAACAGGTTGATCAATCAAATGCTAAATCAGTAGGTCATCCTGCCGACGATGATGCGCGATCACGTAATGTGTACAAGTCCGAAGGGACGAGGAACATTAACATATTCATGTCGAGCGATTGAAGTTCCAATCCGAGAATCATCTATGCAAAATTTTCAACTTATTCCGCAATTATATTCTCGACACGGCGATTGAAACTCGATAATGATCTCTTACGAATCGAATATGAATTCCTCCAAGTCTGTAATTAATATTTATATTTGTAATTGTTATTAAATTAGATGTAAGCATTAGAAAAAATCGAATAGTCCGAAAATAATTTTCCATACGTGATCCAGCCATCGGTGATTTATCGAAGTCAACGTGCGTGAAATTTAACAGAAGAATCTCCACGGAACAATGATCGTTCCGGAAAGATCATCGTGCATAAATCCTACGGGACGAAACGATCGAAAGGATCGCAGTGATTACCGTATGGCCCATTAATTCCGTCACGATATGCCGGACAGAAGACGCGCGTTTCGTCCCTGGCAATGTTAATTAGACAGCACTCGCGCAGGTAATTACGGTTCCCCGCGTGTCCTTCCCGTGGAAACGCGGTTTCCTTTCTCCCCCATAAATCTTTCATGCGTGATCCCGTAGACGATCCAACAACGAACATAGAAAACGATATCCTACAGAAAATAATCAGAAATTATCGACGCCAACCAGATCCTCTTCACTAACATCCTCCAATCAAAAAGGGGTTGTTTTCTCACAAAAAAACATTTATCCACTGAATGTTAAATCACTGAAATAACCGTTCATTTAATTAACTTTACAGAATTACCATTCTCGGTGGAAAATGTACGAGTGCGTGCCTTTTTTTCTTGGAATCACTTGGAACTAACTGACTTTCCCTAGTTTCGAGCTCGCGGCGAGATTAAAGTCATCATTTTACCTGACGACAACGGACATCCGCTTAAAGGGCGCGGCCGGCTCCGCAAGGGCGTACGAACGTCTGGACAAAAGAGAGAGAAACGCAACGGATCGGGGAGAACTTGTAGGACGTCTTGTCAGTCAACAGCCTCAGATATTCATGGGATTCTCCCCTTCAAGTGAACGGTGACATCCGGCTGTCCTCTGCAATTTCACTTACTGTCGACTCCCCGGCGGACTCTTTCAGGGAGCTTTCATCGCGGGTAATCCCCTTTTTTGCATTCTTCTTCGAACGTTACAGACAGATACTAAATATTAAATAGTTTTAATGGAACGCGTGAACCAAGGAGCACAATATGAAAAATTGAAAAACAACGATGGATATGTTATCATGCATTAACCCTTTGCTGACGGAAGGGTATTTGTGCCTGCAAATATACAACTTCAGGTGTTCTAAAAATATTTAGAAACTACTACTTTAATTTTATTTGCCAAATTTCACATACAGTGGGTGTAAAAAGTATTCGTACACCCTTTAAAACGGAACAACTCTTTTAAAATTGGTCCAAATGACTTGAGTTTTTTTTTGTGAAGTTAGAGACATTAATTTACTAAATGATGTGAAAAAAAAACATTTAGAGAAGTTGCAATT